AATGCTAATCTGGAGCTGGATTTCAGCGCTTAATTCTTTCTCGGACCGCTACTCTGCGCCGCATCCGCTCTTTCGGTCCGGCTGTTTGCTGAGCTGGCCACCGAGAGCGTCGATGGTTACGTTGCCAGATCCTCTTGGCCTCGACGCTAGCCATTCGTTCATAGCCCTAGCTACTCATAGTGCATTGGGATAGTAACGTACGACTAAATCGCACACTGCGGAACCATCGGAACAACCTGCCCAGAGCAGTACTCTGGGTCACTCAATCTTCCGTTCCGCCATAGCATGCTTGCGCCACGCTTTCAACATGATGACACCATGCCATCATACTCCGCATGTCTCCGCATGTCAACACCTTGCCACGCTCCGCATGCATACGTCCGCGCATGCGAATGCTCCGGCGGCGCCCCGGGCCCCAACATTGCAGAACATTGAACGCCTCTGTGAACGAGACTAACCCAATGCATGCTGATCGCAGCGGGCGCCATGTGTGCCGTGCGCCATGCGTTCATGCGTCTCCTCGCTTGCCGTCAGTCGCCGCGGCGCCTAGGTACGATTGTGACGAGTAACTCCGGAGACATTAAGCCTTCGCTGTGCATTGCAGGAGCACAGATTCAAGAGATTCACACAGAAGCCGGAACGACCGCCACAGTCCGGCTTTGGTCACAATTGCACAAGCCGTAGGGCACGCTCGTTGGCTCGCTCGGCCCTCGCGGCGCTACTCCTCGGCGCCCCCAGATCACCAGTTTGCCGAGGCGTGTGGGGTGGAGCATGGGGCAGTCACCTGCGGTCACCTGCAGTCACCTGCTGTGCGATCTGGGACCACGCCGGCGCGGGGGGCGATCTGGGGTACTCGCACGCCTCGCAGCGATTGAATGCTGGCTGTGGGCGCCTGTGAGCGCCTGCTCGCGACCAGTCTCCACGACTGAAATGCATGAAGGTACTCATAGGCCGCTGGAGTGAATCAGATGAATAGTGGATCTATTGGTCTAGTCTGCAGTGGCTCGAGTGGCTGAAAGGGCGATCGTCACCTGTTCTGTCGTGCTGAATTCCCACCCTCCGAGATAAACTTCAGAGTTGCGAGACCAGCCTGGGCGTACCCAAAGGCGGTCTGAGCGCTGCTGGAACCCCCAGTTACCCCAAACAAATACAGAACATGCCAAGCACGTTGGTTACCGAACCTCCTCGATCCCAATCCTCGCTCCATGCGAGCCATGCGTACTCCCCTTCCGATCCCTCGGTGGTGTCTTGGGATCCTGTGATCCTGCGGACCAGTGCTCAAGTCGTCTGCGCAGCGCAGGGCAGAGGCCGTAGGCAGGGCACGGGTGCAATATAGGGCACTCACTCGACACCAACGCACTCGCCGGCACCGACAAACCGACATGCAATTCACGTCGTCATATGCGGATCACGTACGCCCGTATCAGACCCTGCAAGCTCGACCGTCGGAATCGGGTTTGTTGGAGTTGTGCGGGTCGGTCAACGGGTCAGCGGGCCAAACCTTTGCGCAGCCGAAAGTACGGAGTACGCAACGCCCACATTCATACGGAGGTATAACATGGCGAATTGACTCCTGCAATGGCCCAACTGACGCACTCGGTAGGTCCTAAAAGTGCTTGACGAGAGGTTGGAATGCCGTCTGAATTGGTGACATTAGGATCCGAAGCTCGCTCAAAGGTTTATCGAACACCACAACCGGTAACAAGCTGAATTGCAGCGCAACGCATGCCTGCTTTCTACTGAATGGGCGCGTGTTCGCGTGTCCAACACGAGCGTCACCACCGACATCACGAGAACGATCAGTGGCACAACTAGCAAGATGCGCACTCCTACGCTCAAGCAGGTGACCTGTGACCAGCATAGCCTCGTTGTACGCCCCAACCGGTCAGCCCCCAAAGCCTCTACTGCCCGCCATGCCCTTCTGACAGTCAGACAGACGAGGGGGAGTGCGTGCTCCATACTTGGCAAGACCCCGCACACCTGACCCGCCAGCTAGAATGTCCTCCTTGCGCTGCACACCCATCGCGCCCATCTTCGATGACCGCGCCTGTGCGGTGCCTATCAGCCATAGGCTATGGGTCCGACGGGATGAACGGTAGCGTCGTTCCTGTCGTCCCTGCGGCCTCTGTGGAGATTACACCTCATCTGGACCTGGAAGAACCTGCTGACGAGTTGACCCCGTTCCTGCCAGTACCTCACGAGTTCCTGACACCTCATCCCTCATCCCCGATGCGATGCTTCGTCTAAACCGTTCGCCTTCTTCGGAGGTTACCTGGACCTAAGGTGCACCTGACCCGCGCACCTGAGTCGCCCGATATGGATGCAGGAACACGACTCGAAGGGGACGACGTGATCCCCCGCTCCAGCGTCACTCATCACCGTTACATTACCCGCCTTCGGTGCCCTTACCCTGCACCGATGGCCCTGCCCCAGTGACCCCAGTGACCCCCTCCTCGCCAGTGCAGGGTGTTAATGAAAAACCCACCTGCGTTCCCTCATCATCTACCCGCATTCTGTCTGGCCGACAAGCACATCGTGCATCCATGACTCGCTGACCCCGACGAGCGATAGGGCTTCACGTAAGCTCGGTGCCTCTCTCAGGTGCCCGCTTCTCCCATGAGAACCCACTGACCAGGGCAAGCAGGGCTGAACCTTACCGCAAGCTATCCCAGCTGATCACCAGCACTCGACCCACTATGAGGCACTGTGAGGGACAGACAAGCAGCAACCGAAGTGCGAACAAGCGCAGGAAGCGCAACGCTTAACGCTACGAACGAGAGAGCAAACTCACCGCGTAGGAGAGCGCCCGCGACGGCTGACAGTGCCTGCAGAGCAGGTCCCCAAAGTTCTGAACCCAATCAGTATCCCTCCGGGTCTTCCGGCTCTCAGTCGTGCGGAACTTACGGCAGATCCATCAAGTTCCGCAGAACAAGCGTAAGGATTATGTACGCTGGACAGGATGAGTGCAAGGATCAAGCAAGAAAGAACATCGCCTAATCGAGCGCTTGCAAACTTGGCGCCGGGCACTTGTACGTAACACACTGCACGTAGCGCGTAAGTTGGACACGCGCAGGACCCGTAGCGCGCAGATGATCGGGGTCGTTGGGCAAAGTTTTCTGGCCTTGGGCAGCTTTCCGCTCGGGGCGCTCTGATATGGCGTTCGTGTCAGTCCGCTCCAGCGACACGGGTACCATCTATGCGGGTATGCTACTGGGTGCATGTGCGCTGGGCGTGATGCCATGGCGCCTAACCGCTTACAGCGTCCAGGTGCTTTGCAGCGCACGGGCGGCAACGCGTGGTGTGTAGCGCGCAGCGTTGCAGGATCCCATCACAGGATCACAATGAATCCGGACGGGATCACGTTAGCTGGCTGAATGCGTATTACGTTCTGCGCGTCGACTGACGGGTCGATAATGACGCCCCAAGTTGCGGATCAGTCCACTCCATCGCGGACCAACCTCTGCCTAACGCAACGCCAGCAATGACGCTCCGCTAGCCCGTCCTTTCTTTCATTATGGATGCTGTCGACATTGTCGATTCATGCGCATTCATGCACATTAATGCCCGGAAATGGCGCCGGCAGCCTTCCCGGCATACCGTTGTCCGGTGAATGATGGTCAATGAAAAGTCAATGGGCAGAAGAAGAAGCGAACAGAAGGAGCGCGCACGAAGGCAGTCGAATTGCACGCCATCGCAGGCGAGATGCAGTCGAACGCAGGCCCGCAACAGCAGCAGCAGAAAACCTGCAGATGAACCGCAGTCGATCGCTACCGAAGCTGGGGCGAATACCGAAAAGAGATCGGAAGCTCCCCAGCGGCCGGCGGATCAGCGGGTCCAGCGGAATTGCGAGTTAGTTCATGGTCAAAATACCAATGGACCACAATTGCGGTCCCAATTCATCACGGCTCAAAGTCTGGGTAGGGGAAGTGATGGGCAGTTTCATCTAAAACTCAACCATTCAATGCATGACGACACGCTTGTTCATGTACGCATGTGAGCGGCGTACGCAGAGCGGCTGCGTAATGCGTGCATCTGTGAGAAGGACTGTCATTGCGGCATGCACTGTGCGCAACTTGGATGTTGCGACGGAGTACGAATCTGCGGTGGTTTGCATTCTATGCCAAACGCAGTGTTAGCTATGACCCGGTTCGATGGCGACATCAGTCATTGTCTGTGGGGAAGAGGATGTTGGCGACCCGTGCATGCTTGCCTGGTGGAGTGCGGTGGGCTTGGCGCTTCGTTTTCCGATGCCTTGCAAGAACTAAACCAGAGGTGTGCAACCCCGTCGACGGCCCGGTGGCAGATTACTGACACGCCACTGCGCTGCCTCCTCATTGCTGACTTGTCAAGCCTGGCGCGACGTTGATTGAGCATCGTCAGGCAGCTCTGAGCCACAGTCTTCACAAGTACTGCACCGAGCGATGACTGGCGCCCATTCCAATCTGATGGACGACCGTTGTCGGACTTTAATGGAAGAGAGTTTGTCGAGTGAGCGTCCTTCGGACCATGTCGTGCGAACACCGGAGCTGGTCAGTCACCCATCACGTCTTCAACGTCATTTGCATTCCACTTCCGATTGCAATGTACATGATTTACTCGAGTTCTGCGATTCCAGACCGGCGCGCTCAGGCGTCCACGCCAAGGTCCTTCGCGATCATCTTGCGTGCAATCGGGTGCTGTTCTGTCAGCCACATCACGCCCAACCGCCGCCACAGAGTTCATAGGCCGGCTAGGATCACCCGCGCCCGTGTCTCGCGCACCCTCGCCACCACCGCGCCTGATTTCGGCGCAGTCGGCGCATGCAGAAGCCATGGTCGCACGGGCAAAGCGGCCATCGTCCGACGAGCTCCCGCCGGCCTGTCGCTTAGAGGACGACAGCGCCGCTGACGAGATGACAGTGCCTCCGCCTCCACGTCCCTGCTCGCGCCTTTCCAAGCCGCCCAGGCGCAAGGGCACCGGTTACCGGCGGCGCCATAGAGAAGGCGTGAGGCTGCGTGCAGCTAGACGGCTGCCCCTCGAAGAGGCGGAGATCGACTCGCGACACCGTTCCACATCAGGACGGCTTCTATCGGCTTGGTCGCCGCAAACTTGTCACTTACGTAGAACTCGGCGTGCTCCTTGAACACCTTCTTGGCCAGCTCGGGGTTCTGCTCGTTGAGAAGCTTGAAGATTGGCTGGAGATGTTAGTCTTTCGCCATCCAGCTGATGGATAAACTCACTCGGCAGAACTTCATGCGGCCCTTGGTGATGACCCAGTCTGATTGTCAGCTTGCAATTTTCTAAGTAAAGCTTACCGGCGGCGCTCTGGCAGTACTCGGGACCGCTCTTCAGAGCAATCTTGTAGAACCGAAGCTTGATCTCAGCGTTCTGCGTCTGGTTGAAGCCGTAGATCTCGTCGAGCTTCTCAGCGACCTCGGGCTGGTACTTCGGTCCGAGCTCGTACAGGTGGTCGAGCATGACACACTTCTGCGTCGAGTCAAAGTCCTTGACGTCCTCAGGCTTGAACTGGGAGAGGTCGCCCTTCTTGGCGGCCGCGGCCCAGCGCTCAGCGAGCTGCGTCGGCGGCTTCGACAGCGAGTCGTCGTACTGCATGTCGATGCACAGGTCGAGACCGGTTCCGTGGATCCACTCGTCCCAGTTGACCTTGTCGAGCTTCTTCAGGTACTCCTCGCCGTTCTCCTGCTTACCGAACCAGTCGAAGAGGTGCTTGCGCCACTGCTCCGTCTGATCGACTTGTTCGTGAACGTCTTCACGTAGTCCTTCATGTACGGGATGAAGTGGTCCAGTCCACCAACGGTGCGCTCAAGGTGGAGGAGGAAATTGGAGCCCTTCTCATACGGCACCTGGCTGAACGCGTCGTCGGCTGAGGGTTAGTCACAACAGACATTTCCTAACTCACGGTCCTCGTGGTTCTTAAAGTCGGGCAGCAGCTTCTGGAAGCGCGGGGTGTCCTCGTAGCCCTTCAAAGACTCCTTGAGTCCGACTCGTCCAATGGTGAACGACCTGATCAGTCAGCTTGAACCTCAATCAGCTCACTCACAGCATGCGCGCGGGCTCTCCGTGGATCTTGCCAATGATAAGGCGCTCGAGGTAAGTGGTCCATCCCTCATTCAGCCAGAAGTGCGCCCAGGAAGCGCAGCCGATCGAGTTTCCGAACCAAGACTGCTGTTAGCTTTGGGAGACATAACGTAGCTTACGTGGCTGATCTCGTGAGCAATGACATCGACAAGCGAGCGGTCACCAGCGAGGAGCGTCGGGGTGGCGAATGTCAGACAGCAGTTCTCCATGCCTCCGTACGGGAACGAGTTGGGAAGAATGAGGAAGTCGTAGACGCCAAAGCGGTACGCGGAAGTGAGATCCTCGGCGGTTGCCACCTGTTTGGCAGTATCCTCCTCGAACTCCCAGTAGGCAGCCTTCATCGTCTGGGGCTCCGTCCAGACACCAGTCTTCCAGTTACGACCCTCCATGTCAGGGAAGGCCTTGTACGTGACCTCACCGGAGGCGATGGCGATCAGGTATGAGGGAATGGCAACGGGCTGCGGTTAGCTGGTACCGGACAACCAGCTTGACTTACCTGCTTGTAGACGTACTCGATCTTCTTGCCGTACTGAGGCTCCTCGTCGCTAGGGGGAGACTGACGCAGGGCAGACATGAGAACGGGAAGGACGGAGGTCACGCGCGACGAGTAAGTGGCCTTGATGGCGGGCGTGTCCTGGCAGGGAAGGAGCGATCGGCCGTGGATCTGCCATCAGTTGAACGAAGGCAGCAGAAAACTTACCGCCTGACTCTGAGAGTAGAGGTAAGGGTACTTGCCGCTCTTGGTCTGGCTGGGGCGTCAGAATGCACCTGCGACAATAAGACTTACACCGGGGTGAGCCAGCCGACCGAGGTGCAGTCCTTCGTGGTCGAGTAGGTGACGGTAATCTCAACGGTCTGTCCTCAGCTAAGCACGGCAACTTATCAGCTTACCTGCCCTTTCTTCAGAGTGCTAGGGAGCTTGACGTGAAGAGCCTGGCCCATAGCCTCGATGTGCTCATCGAGCTTCCAGTCCTGGATGTTAGTTCGACTGATTTTGCATTAGGAACTCACAGCCTTCTTGCCGTCGACAGTGACATCCTTGATGTCGAGGTAGCTAGTGTCGAGGACGACCTCGTCGACGTCCTTGATGGCCTCGAGCTTGAGCGTGGCCGTGCCACCAATGGTCTTCTTGTCCCAGTCGATGGACCAGTCGAGGTCGATGTTGTCGGTCCGGATGTCCTGGTAGTTGGACAGCGTAAAGAGATCCCGGTCCTGGGAAACGGGGGCGGTAGAGGAGGCCATGGTTCTCAAAGTGTTCTTGGGAGCCTGGCTGTGGTACTGTCGTGATCTGTAGCTTTGAGGAAGACGAAAACAAGGTCGATCAGGGAGGAAGGCAGGAATAGCACGCTGAGTGGACACCTCGCACCGGATCTTGGCAGAGACCATGCGGTCGCATGCGGTCATCTGCGATACCCAGCGGGGCCACACCTCCACCGCAACACGTGATTCTCTACCCCTGCCTCTCTTCCTGATTGCGAGCATTGAGGTATCGGCCGTGGACCGTATACTGCTGGACATCATCAGCGGTCACGGAACACATCTGAGGATAGAGGAGTGGGTTTTGCTCTCTACATGCAACGGCCAGCGATCTGCATAGGACGGAATGGCAGCCGCCGCCCGCTGGGAAGGGTCGAGTTTACCCCTCCGTCGGCAGGGAAGATATCAGATGTCCTGCTTCCCCATGGTCCCTTGCAAGCAGAGGATGTAACCCCGCTACGCTCGACAATAGTATTGAACATACAAGTGTTTACAGCCATGCTGTGTCCCCCACGTTCCTCCGTTGGTGGGCGGTGCTCTCGCCGACAGCCCAGCTCCTCGCGAGATCTCTCTGAAGGCCGTGGACAGATTACCGTATCGCGATAGCTGTGGTACCCCGTCACAGAAGCCGACAAGCATCCTGGTAATGAAGCATTCAGGCGCGCAAAATAACTTCCGTCTCCCGTCGCTGTGTCGAAGTGGTCATGGTAGCTAACGGAGGAAGGTAGATCGCACTCTCGTTGGAACTCGGCCACTCGGCGAGTGGAGGTGCGGCCTCCACCATCCCACGTGGGCGCTCGGAACTGACGTTTCACGATGCGACTCACATGAGCCGCGTGAATCCGCCTGAATCTTCCATTCACCTCGATCTCTGATCCTCGACGTCACAAGCAGCGAGCGCGATGGACGAGCCCGGTCCGTCGAGCGAATACTACCGGCGCTTTGCGGCGCGGGAGGATGGGCCCATCCTTCCCCCGCAAATGCACCAGGACCCCTTCATCAACCCGTCCGAGACACCCGTGCAGTTTCTCGACAACCAGGCGAACGATGGCCTCTACGCCATCCTGAACGTTGACCGCGATGCGTCCCCGAACGAGATCAAGGACAGATACCGCTCCCTTGCGGCGCGCTACCACCCGGACAAGCAGCCGGACGACCAGCGCAGACTCCCGGCGCACCAGCAGTTCCAGAACATTCAGCGAGCCTATGAGGTGCTCACGGACCCGGGACGGAGGACAGTGTACGACATGTTCGGAGAAGAGGGTCTGCGGACGAGCTGGGAGGTCGGACCGAAGAACATGTCCGCGAGCCAGATGCGCTCTTTCTTCCTGAGGCAGGGGGAGGCTAAACGGCAGCTGGACGCCGAGCAGCTCGTGAACTCGAAGGTGGGCTACAGCGCTCCGCAAGTAGCTGACAGCAGGGTGACATGAGCATCGTACTTGATGCGCGCGCAGTCTTCGTGCCGCGGGAAGCGTTCAAGAACCCGGACCGCGTAAGCCACACACCATGGGCTCGCATCCAGCGCGTGCGTCCCGGACAGATCCTCGGCAAGCACAGCTGGGAGACGCCGATCAACGAGAACACACAGCTGGCGATCGAGGGCGTGATGGCTGCCCGAGGACACAATGGTGGCGCCAACATTTCCGGAACGATCAAGCACCAGTTCTCGCCTCGGTTCTGGGGTCAGTACACGCAGGCGTTCCTGGCTCCGCGCATCGCGACGGCAAAGGGCACGTACACATTCGACGAGAACACGTACGTGACGGGTCAGGCATTTGTTCAGACTCTGGCTGGTCCGCCGCGACTGTCCATGTCGCTCGGCCGGCGGCTGTACGCCTTCACGACGGGATTCATCACCTACAACACTGGATTCTGGGACCTGGGTCCGTGGGGACGGAACATGGACCCGCGGCTGAAGTTTGCCGACCAGTCGTCGATGATGGTCGGCATGACAAATGCGATGAACAATGGTTCTGGCTGGACGTGCCAGCTCCAGACGGGACATGCGGAGAACGGTATCGCGGCCGACTGGACGACGAACGTCATGGGTCTCCGCGTCAAGCTCGGCGGACAGCTCGATGTCACGGGAGAGCTCACTGCGTTTGCGGACGCCATGGGCCGTGTGACTGAGTACACCCGTGCGGGGGCCACGCTCCAGCTCGCCACGTCCGGTGTCCAGCTCAAGCTCTACCTCCGCCGTTTGGGTCAGAAGATTACGATCCCGATCCTGCTGTCTGCCGACCTGAACCCGTACGTGGTGCTCGGTACGGCGGTGCTCCCCGCTGTCTCGTGGGCGGCCGCGTACCACTTCTACGTTCTCCCGAAGAAGCAGCGCGACGTCAAGAAGTGAGTCATTCTCTAATTATTTCTGCGTAGGCGATAACTAACGGCCAGCCGGATCAAGGAGCTCCGCGAGGAACACGCCGAGTACATCGCGCAGAAGCGGCAGGAGGCGGAGAACGCCGTCCTGCTCATGGGCCGGAATGCGGCCTCGCTCGCGGCCAAGGAGAAGGAGCGCGGCGGCCTCGTTATTCTGTCGGCTCAGTATGGCCCCGCATCGGCGTTCTCCGCCAGGGGTGTCAGCGACGACGAGGCCGTCATCGACGTCACGATCCCGCTGCAGGCGCTCGTGCAGAACAGCAAGCTCTACATCCCGGGCGGCAGGAACAAGTTCAACCTCATGGGATTCTGGGTAAGTCAACGCGAGCGGAGTGAGCGCTGCAAACGCAGATTCATGTGTGCGGAGAGGCGGCCCCGCAAGCGCGCAGCAATGGGCAGCCGTGCGCTGCGGGGCTCAACAGATGGGCTGTTTCAAGTCCCAAACAGACGCACAGAACCAAGTCAAGGATGATCAGCTGACAACGAAACAGGACCCCTGCATCGGCGAGAAGAAACGGCTGCGCGTGCGGTACCTGTTCCGTGACGTCGTGCACGAGGTCGAGGTCGACGACGTGTCGCAGCTGCGCGCGCCCGTCAAGGCGCATGCGCTGGACCAGTGAGCAGGAACCGGAGCGAGTCGGCGTACGTAGGAGGATATTTAGCAGCACATCTCATAGGTACCCCACCAAGTCTAACAATGCATAATCCCAAAGAAGGCCAACAGCCACTCAGAGGACAGACTGATAAGGGCTCGTTTGGGGGCGAGGGTTGTTCGAGACTGGACGCCGATGACACATGCGTGTGCTCTGTTTCGCTGACTTTGCACTGAAAACTGCGCCAGCAGTCCACGGAAGATCCTCGGCAGAAAGCGACGTGCCTATGGAAAGCCAGGGACCGTGTGCCGGCGGCGCAAAGCCAGGGTTAAACTCCCCCAACCCACGTTTTAAACTGCCCGCACCTGGCCGCGCGCTACGTGCGTAATCGTGGAAGATCTGAGCCGCCCACACTGTGCAACTGAGCGGACACTGGTGCCGATGACCGGTTGACCCACCGTAAATTCATTCCTCCACTGCCAACCGATAACAACCTGCATTGTCATCGCACCCCTTACAACACAAGAACAGCGACCCAAACGAAACAGTTTACACGACCATGTCCCAGCCCGTCTCTGTGGCTGATGCGGTCGAGGAGAGCAACTTTCGTGCGTAGGAGCGTGCTAGCCTGACGGCGCTGACTTAAGATGCGCTCGCCTCGGCCTTCCTTATGATTGTCGTGTCTGAGATTGGTACGTACGATTGTAATCCTGGTTGTGTCAAGCTGACGAGGTCAGGGGACAAGACCTTCCTGATCGCGGCCATCATGGCGTCGCGACACTCGCGTACCGTCGTGTTTGCCGGAGCCTTTGCCTCGCTCGTGGTCATGTCGGTCCTCTCCGCCGCGCTGGGCAAGGTGATCCTCGGTTTCATCCCGAAGGTGAGTTGTCTCCCTGTGCCGCTCAATAGTGTGATCCAGCTGACAGTTTAGGTGTGGACGCTGTGGGCGGCTGCGGTGCTCTTCCTCGTGTTCGGCATCAAGATGGCGCAAGAGGCGCGGGAGATGCAGGCCTCGCATCTGCAGGACGAGATGCGCGAGGTCGAGGAGGAGCTCGAGGAGGACACAGCCGAGCACGACCCGAACAGCGTCCAGCTCGAGAACCTCGAGGAGGGGCGCGCACGCCCGCTCGAGAACTCTTTGTCCGCGCCGAGCCGTGACGGCTCGCCTGCCCCCGGACGTACCCATCGCTCCAGCTCTCGTTCCCGCACAAGGTCGCTGTCGCCGAGCCGCCGCATGCGCCCCAGTATCAGCCTCGGCGCCGGCGTCGGCCCCCTCAAGATCAAGGAGGAGACGATGCTCGCGTGGCGCGACACGGCGCGCAACGCCCTCGAGATGATGACGAACCCCGTCTTCGCGCAGGCATTTGCCCTCACCTTCCTTGGCGAGTGGGGCGACCGTAGCCAGATCACCACCATCGCCACGGCCGGAGCGCACGTAAGTACATCCTTCCCTCAATCGAGCGAGCGGAAGCTGTCATTGAGTTTGCAAGCTGACATCCAGTCCGTCCCCGTTGTCGCGTTCGGCACCATCCTCGGCCACTCGCTCTGCACTCTTCTCGCCGTGATGGGCGGGCGTCTGCTCTCCACAAAGCTGAGCGTGAAGCACAGTAAGCTTTGGCGTCTATCTTCAAGCTGACGAAAACAGTTACGATGCTCGGCGCCCTGTCCTTCATCTGCTTCGCGGTCATGTACGCGTACGAGGCGTGGAACCTGCCCTCGGAAGTTACGATTTAGAGACTCTACTATTCAACGATTTGAGCGTACGAAATTTCGAAACGATGGGGAAGAGCGTAGTCGTCGCTAAGTGTGTGATTGTGGTCGGACGTGGCATTCCGCAGCCGGGCGCAGAGGCGGGCGGTATGACGCGGTATCCTCAGGCCGAATGGTCGGTGCGGATCCGACCATCGGTCTCTCTGCTCTCATCTGCTCATCGCAATACGCAGCACTTAACACTTGGCACACAACACACTGCAATCAGACATCAGATAATCCGCAACAACTACGGCCTTCGCCTTTCCGATCCGGACCCGATCCGGAGCCAGGTGGAGGATCGACACATGCTCAGTTCAAGGCATCATATCTACACCTCACCTCACGTCGACCGTGGCAATGGGACACAGTAGGACCGACAAAACACAACTCAATAAGGATATACCCAGATACCAACAAGAACGGAGTTAATGTACAGCCCAGCTCGCAGCTTAGGGCCTCATAGAGTTATGCAAAATCTAGACGAAACGAACGAACTTGTTTGTCACGGCGCGACGGCCGAAGCTTTCGAATTGTTGACAGAGTGACAGCGTAACACCATCCAGAGGATGGAGACTAACGTAGGCAGGAATGGGTGACGCGCGACGCGTGGAGCTGTGCGTGCCCGAGGTCGCTTTGTCTCAAAGTGCGCCATGCATGCGCTAGTGGGTCCAACTAGTCCAGCAAGTGCAGTGCGAACACGGGGCAGATCGTCACTAGCGCCAAACCCCGTCTTGGCAAGGACGGCATCACAACTGATTTGCATACATGGAAGAAAATATGGGGGTTAGGATTCAGTATACAACTGTAGATAAAGGTGGGGAGATGGTGATGGGGGAGGGTGAGAGGGGAGATTGATGCACTGGAGAAGGAAGATCGGAGCAAAGATCTGCCACTTCATCCTGAACTCGTCAGTCACGCTCGGTCATGTGCGCGCAGGGTACTCACCACCAGACCATCCAGTTGTCCTTCAACGGCTCCCAGACAGTGCGCTGGTCGACACTGAAGTTAGCTACGTTTGAATTCGTTCAAGCTCTGAATACGCACGGGATCAGGTCAAAGTACTTGTACACGCCCCACAGGATCTTGATGTTCAGGTAGTGTCGCATGTAGGTCCAGACAACAACGAAGAACGCAAAGAACGGCGTCGACGCGGGGTCGTTCCAGTAGTTGACGCACTTGGCGAGCTGATGTCACCTGTGCGGCCGCGTCGAGCTCTCGCCGGGCCGCGAGGCGGCGCGAGAGCGTCGCTTCCCACTCGCCTCCTGCTGCGGCGTGCGCGAGCGTTGGCTGGGGCTCGGCTACCAGCGTGCTCGCCTCGGGCGACTCGGGGTGCCACGCCAGGAAGGCTGACACGGAGGCATCACGAACGCGGCGGTCAGAGAGGAGCGCCTCGAGGGCCGAGGCGGCCTGCCGAACTGTATCGGGCGTGGAGGGCGGGGTGGGCTCGTCGCCTTCCTCTTCGGCCGGGCGGGGGCGGGGTTCTGGCTCCTCGTCCGAGCTGCTGCTGGGCAGAGACGAGGGGTAGCTTGAGGGGTAGGACGGCTGGCTAAGGGGTGAGCGGGGTGAGCCCGAAGACGAGCTGTACTCTGGCACACCTGGCAGGCCGGCGTCAAAGCTCCACGGCTCAATGTTGCCTGCACTCCACCGCGGCGTCTCGAGGGAGCGCGCGTCGCGGCGCGTCCCCTGCTCGAGTGTTGTTACGGGGACGATGTCTAAAGCGGTGAGGTCGTCCTCGTCTGCTGTCAGCTCCGACCCGTTAGATAGCTCACCATCAAGCACGAAGGCGACGTGCACCCAATCCGCCACGATACTGTGCGCGGTCACGATCTTGGCCATCTCTCGCCGCTTCTCGGGATCCGGCGACGGGTTTAGTAACGAGTGGAGGAGGGCGTATGCGTCGTGAGTCCGGCGCGCAATGTCGTTGGCCGACAAACCCGTGATGATGGTAGCCTCGAGCTCGCCGTAGCCTGTACTGGAGCGCGCGACGACGCCGACCTCACCATGCGCGAGCTGGACGCACTTCCGCTTTCCGGCGATGACGGCGAGGACGTCCCGCGTCCGCTCTGGTGGCGCGACGAGCGCGATGCGCGTGCCCGCGCCTTCGCCCGCCCATCGCTCCAGGCCGAGGTGGAGAGACGTATTCGGCAGAGCCAGCGTGGGGAGGACGAGTTCCTGTCTCTCACCGGATACTGAGGACGCGCTGGCCGTGCTTCCGGGAGCGCCGGGACGCATGAACTGTGCACGCTGGTCCCAGTCTGCGGGGGAGCTGAGACGTGAGAGCGAAGACATGGACGCCGTGCAGCTCGGCAGTGAAGCTAGGGATGCAGGGGACGACGGCTCACTCGCACTCGGCGCGTCCTGCAGCATGTCGAAGAGCGCGTGCGAGACGACCGGGCCCGGCGTCTTGTCCAGACTCCGGCTACGTTCGCGCGTCAGTACAGCGGGCGCATGCACGATGTGCGCTGTGGGAGACGGGCCTGGAGGGTGAGCTGCAGCGCCCTCCGGGTCGCGGTCGCACGACGTCGCGGGCGTCGACGCTTGTTCCTGGCGCCCCGCTGGCGCGGGCGTATGCAGCTGCAGCGACCGTGACGCATCGGGTGTGCTCTCGAGTTCTTCCGAGCCACTGCTGTCGGTGTGCTCATTGTCCGAGCTGTCGTGCTCGTCGTGCTGCACGTCACGGACCGATTTCAGGTCGCCCACACCCTCACCCCCGCCGGCTGACGCCGTGTGATCGGTGGCGTCCGCCTTGTGGGCGGCGTGTGAATGTCCTGGCGCGAGGGCGGTCGAGTCCGAGCCGTCGCTGGACCATGAGACGGAACTGATGCTGCGCACCCCGTAGCAGCTGTCGACGCCGTCGGGGGGTGGCGACTCTTCCTGTTGGGTGCGCACGGCGCTGGGCCGGCGGGTGGCAAAGGGGTGTGAATTGACAATGGCCGATAGAGCCTTAGGCATGATGGGGTTGGGGTGTGGATGGCGGAATGATGATGAATGATGATGATAACAAGAAGGATGACAGCGAGGAGACAATGGATGCGATGATGGCAGTGATGAGGATGCGACGATGCGTATGCTTTGTGTCCGAGGAAGGCAAGCGGGGTGGGAGGGAGATATGGCGATAGGACACTGAGAGTCCGGTGATGATGCGTGTGTGTAGTGGGGGTGTGTGTGAGCGTGGTCTTGGTCAGTTGCCACCCAGGTCCACACCAGGTCCCATCCTCACGCACCGGTCAGCAGCGGTATGTGCAAGTGGAGGCAAGCTTAAGGTGGAGGCACTAGTCCTCTGTGCTCGTGCCCACAGTGTTGCTAGGCGCAGGCACCTGGCACCTGGCACTCTGCTCCTTACGGCACACGCGCGCGACAGTTGAATGGCAACACATAGCGTCATACCCCGCCAATCCATCCACTCGTCTTCCTCCGGCCTCCGATCATCCTTGCTCCGATCCCCACCTTCTGTGCATCTGCTGGTCCGGACTTCCTTGTCTAATCACGGCTAGTACAGATGCATGGGAATCACACTCCGACCCACAGACACACTCAACCCAGGTCCAGCCCCCTCCCCAGTCCTCACGAACCTAGAGTCCAGAGCATTCCAGGTGGGCGGACGTCAACTTGCGCCCAAGACAATGACGGCCGACTGAAACAATCGTCGGGCCAACGACTCCGGTCCATATCCAACTGAGCCCCCGCCTATCGCTTACACTTCTTGCTTCCCATCGGGAATCACGCAACAGCTTCTAGTAATTAAGATGCAGGAACACTACGGCTGTAGAGTTTGTATTGGTAGGGGGTTTGGTATATATGGTGTGAGAGAGAAGCATGAGGGTTGGGTTTGGAAACAAGATAGGGGGCCATGTTGTCCGTCTAGAGTTTACTGCGTCTTGTCGGCGTCGCCCACCTGCTTCGGCGGGTCAGAGTCCTCCTCGTCCTCATCGTCCGAGCGCTCATCCTTTCGGATGTCAAAGAAGATGACTCTGCACATGGGTCAGCTGACGAACAGGGTAGTCAAGCTTACCGGATGAGAATGCGCCAAATCAGGAAGTACCAGAACAGATTGATGCACTGGAGAAGGAAGATCGGAGCAAAGATCTGCCACTTCATCCTGAACTCGTCAGTCACGCTCGGTCATGTGCGCGCAGGGTACTCACCACCAGACCATCCAGTTGTCCTTCAACGGCTCCCAGACAGTGCGCTGGTCGACACTGAAGTTAGCTACGTTTGAATTCGTTCAAGCTCTGAATACGCACGGGATCAGGTCAAAGTACTTGTACACGCCCCACAGGATCTTGATGTTCAGGTAGTGTCGCATGTAGGTCCAGACAACAACGAAGAACGCAAAGAACGGCGTCGACGCGGGGTCGTTCCAGTAGTTGACGCACTTGGCGAGCTGATGTCAGTTAAAATACGCGACGCAAAACTTACCGCGAGGAAGATGTCCGACACGTCCATGGTAACAAAGACCGAGACACCGATGTAGGTGAGCGAGATGAAGTAGCTCCATCCGATGAGCCACAGAGTGACGCAGTGCTGGTCGTCAGTTGCGATATCGCATGTTCAACTCACATGAGCGACGAGCTCCTTGTAGTCCTTACGGGGCTTCTCAATCTTGAGCGCGAGGATGATCGTCTGCTGGCACCAGTAGGCAGCCTGCATGAGGTAGTAGACCTTGAGACTCCGCGTCATCTCACGGTGCGGGTAGTTGATGAAGAAGTACTCGGTCTTGTACCACCAGGTCGGGAGGTGGCTCATTCCAATCTGCGGTCAGCGACGCCTGCATGGCTGCACTCGCGATTCCGGCAACACCCATGATACCAAAGTAGAAGACTGCGTAGCCCTCTGCGACTGTCAGCGGGTTGCGATGCATAGGAACTCACGCTCAGTGAAGCGGGGCACCTTGGCCGGGCGAATGCCTAGCCGCTTGGCCATCGGACGCAGAATGTAGAGGGTGACAAACTGACGGACGCTGAAAACATGTCAACAAATCGCCAAACAGATATTTACGCACAATGACCAGAAAACAATGTAGTAGGCGATGAAGGCAAGGTCACCGAGACCCTTCGTGTACTTGCCATTGGGCTGCTTGTTGCAGGGGAACAGCAGGTACTTGAACGGGTTGAACTTGATGGGACCCGTCATGCCGAGGTCGATGAGGATCCACTGGTTCGCCCAGAGCAGCACGGGAATGATCATGAGCAGGAAGGCCGACGCTGGCGCCGTCAGTTTTGCTATGCAGGCAGTGACTCACAAGGCACAAGCATCCATCGTCCAGTCTTCACATCTTCCCAGAATCCGAGCGACTGATAGCGCTCAGGAATGCCATACGGGTCTGGACGAGGGGCGCTCTTTGGCAGCGGCTTGACCTCGCTGACCGAGCTAAAGTCAGGCTTTTGCGGCGGGTTTGCGATGTGTGCGGACTCACGTCTTCTCGACTTTGGCGGACTGCCCATTGAGCGGGATTTGCCTGACAGTCAGAGTCATGGACGCGTTGAGGGACGTGGAGGAAGTGGCAGACGGAGATGTGACAGATGGTAGCAACAACAGAAGGCTCGTAAGACTCGGGGGCAGCCGATCGCATATTGCGCCCTCGCTGTTGCAGAGTCTTATTCTCGCCTAGTAGAACTGGCACGACGATACGATGGCGCGGGGAGGTGCGGCTTGCGCTTTGACGCGTCGAGCCGGCTTGCCAGCCGGCATGCAACGCGTAGGATGCCGGGTCGGACTCACTTGAGGGCACTGGTGACACTCGAGCTGCGGCGCCTGTTGACGGGAGGAGCGGGAGCCTTGAGAGAGGACGACTCGGCCATGGTGTCGGTCCTCTTTAGGCTTGTGATGGTGGTCTTGAAGGAAGAAGAGGACGAGGGAGGGGAGAAGAAAGGGCGACTAGTGGAAAAAGACGGCTGCCAGGTAAATATCGGTTGGACAAGCTGCAATCGTGGTGCCATAGGAAAGCTTGGGTGGCATCCGAGGGCGCCTGGCGCCGCAGGGTGCAGAGCGCCGTCGCGGTGGGTCCTCAGTGCGATCCACCCGGCACGAAGAGAGATCGGCCCCTGAACGATTCGGGTTCCAAGGCCACAGATGACCGTGTCAGTGTCATCCTCATCTTGACCGTCGAAACGTGGAGGTCTCGTGGACTCAGCCTGGCATTTTGTCACGTGGTAAGCCCTGGACTGTGGACGCCGTGCGTCACCGCCGACATGTCGCTTGCGGACAGTCAACGCTGTGCTCACCGTTCATCTGCACCTTCCCTCTCACACTCTCGACACCGAGTCGGCAACTAAAACGGCTGCTATCGACTCGACCGAACGGTAACCAGTCACCATGATCCTCCTCGAGGTGGGCTATGCGATTGAGCCCTAGTAGCTAACATACAGTCGCACAGCGTCATCATCCACGATGTCCTCACCGACCGCTTCATCAAGTGAGTCGGCGTCCAGTTGGGTAGTCCTGGGGTGAACAGGGCTGTCTTCTAGCTCAAGCGATCTGGCGCGATAGCTAACAGCAGGCCCGGCCGCGCGGACATCCAGTTCGTCGACTATGACAGTGTGCGGTTCCACATCTCGACGCCCGAGTCCAAGACGGTGCTCCTGCTATCGATGGCGATCCAGTGCTGGCCCGACCTCCTGAAGTACGGCTCGCGCGAGCACCTCGAGAAGGAGTACGGAGACTACATCCTGCCGCAGAGCCAGACCGAGTCCGAGTACGACGTGTCCTTTGCGATCGACCTGGAGCGTCTGCCGCAGTCGGATGGTGAGTAGCACACACTCGCGCCAGCTGCCTTTGTTGTGCTTGTAGCTAACCTGCTCAGAGGAGAAGGCCGAGCTGATCCGCCACTTCTCTCTTGTTAAGCGCAACGCTCTTGCTGCGCCGTTCCTGGGCTCCTTCGAGGAGCAGCGCCACCTTGCCGAAACGTATAAGCCTCCGCAGGGACTGGACGACCAGCCGCGCGAGTCACAGGGCGAGCTCAAGGTGATCAACTACCGGGACGGGGAGGCGATCTTCCTTCGTGCGTCGCACGACCGTGTGACGGTCATTTTCTCGACCGAGTTCAAGGAGGAGACGGACCGAATCTTTGGCCGCGTGTTCCTGCAAGAGTTCTACGACGCGCGCAAGCTGCAAGCGCTCCAGTCCGCGCCGCAGGTGACGTACTCGAACCGCGAGCCGCCGCTCGAGATCCGCCACCTCCCCGGTCTCCGCCGCAACGAGAACGTCGGCTACGTCACCTTCATCCTCGCCCCGCGCCACTTTGCCAACCCCGAGCTCGCGATCGGCACGATCTCCCGCATCCAGCTCTTCCGCGACTACCTCCACTACCACATCAAGTGCTCAAAGGCGTACATGCACTCGCGCATGCGCTACCGTGTTGCCGAGTTCCTCAAGATTCTCAACCGCGCAAAGCCCGAGGTCCAGACGCACGAGCGCAAGACCATCTCGGGACGCACGTTCAGGTCGCGCTAAGCGAGTGGAACGGCGTCGGCGGGCGGAATATGTCAGCTACGGAAGTAGCGTATTAGCAACAGTAGGCACAGAAGAATGTACATGATTTCAGCGACGGCGCGCGCCGCTGGACGCGCATCGGTGCCGAGGAGCAACGGAACTGAGACTGCGTCAAGGCGCGAAGCACTGACCGCAGGCTCGAGTCGAGACTGGCGAAGTCGGCGATTCTGAGACCAGCGACGCAGATTGAGGCAAGCTAACACAGACAAGAACCATCGTCCACCTCCGAGCTCACAGCAGATCCTAATCGTCGCCTGTATTGGATGCCAGGGGCAAGAGAGGATACAAACAAGTTTCGCATGCAGATTGGGAAGAAGATACACTACAGATGTTTAGGTCGTGTCGTCGCTGAGTCGTGAATAAGTGCGGGAGGTGGGCGGATGGGAATGCATTGTAGGTGTGTGGAGAGGTTTGAGACATGCGACGACTCAATCTTGGTCTCAGTCTTTCGATCTTTCGAAGTCGAGCGCCGGGCGCGCCGGGTCCGGGCCAACGTAGGGCGGCCGGCGGGGGTCCGGCTCCCTCCATTTGATGTTTGTGTCGTGACGAGCGTGCGGCGAGCGGGCGAGCGGAACGATGATCGATGGACGCTCGGATCGGAGCGAACTTGTCCGAGCATCGCACCCCGGCATGGGGTACAGGAGTACAGGAGCCTACGCGGGCCAAGCGCCAGGCAGCTGGATAGGCAGCGGAAAGACCCAGTCCCAGACCCAGCTCGTCCTCTTCTTTTGCGTTGACTGCTCGCTCGCTGTCCCCGCCGATGTGAACGCCGGTAGCGGAGGGAGGGGAGGGAGAGGAGGATGTGGCGGAAGGGACACACTGTCGAGCAACGAGTCCATCTCCAGCGCCCAAGCTAGGTCCTTCTCGGGACTGGAGGTGGGATACGCGACAGAGAAGGAGGCGCGCCACTTTGACATGGTTGTGGCCGGCGAGCGGAGCGAGGAGGGTGGTTCGGAGATGGTCAGGTCGCGACACCGAAGACGGCGAAGTTGACGGAGAGGAATGAAGGCGAGCGTAGACGACGTAAGACGAACGTAGACGGAGGTAAGACGGAGGGTGAAGGAGGATGTATCGGAAAGTCGTAGGGGTAGATTTGGACGAGAGGTGGGTGTGGCGAAGCGCAAAGAGCAAGGGGATCGGAAGAGAAACAGTAGCAGTAGCACAGAAGCGTGAATGCGAGAATGCGGGAAGGATAGGCGAACAAGAGAAATCTGCAAGCGGACAAGAAAGAGACAAGAGAGCGACGATGGCGACGGCAGTGGTCGTGCTCTGTGTAGTTGTGTCTTTATACACTTGTCCTTCTCCTGAATTCCTACTCTCACTCGTTGCGATCGCCCCTCGGCTGGGTGGTTGATCGTGCTCTCGGCATAGCCCTCGCACGTACCCCGCCTCATGTGTCTGCATCAGGTCGAGGAGAAACAGAGACAGGCCGGATCGAATGAAGGGCAATCGAGCAAGATGGGCGGTCGGGTATTCAGCCGCAGGTTGCTGGAGCGACATCGATCTCACACCCTCATCCCCTCGAGACATGCGACTCGACGCCATCGGAACCTCGACCGAATACACGAGGTCGTTGACTGGACTAGGCAAGAACACGGGCTTACACTGGCTTCGGGAGAAGATTCCCGCGGCCAGATGTGAGACAACCACACCAACACACTGCCTACACACGGTCTACACGAGGCATATGTCTTGATGAGGAAGCGGAGGGCGGGTCTGGGCACGTCTTCGCGCCCGACGTCTTACTTCTCTCGATGTTTTGGGGAAACGTTGACTCCCTTCAGCCGCTAATGATGAGCTGCGATGCAGCGACGAGTGGAGGGACAGCGATGATCTCGGGCGCGCGTCGCGGATGCCTCGTCGGTATCCCCTGACTCCGATCGCGAGATACACAGATGCTTACCACATTCGGTTCACCGCATTCTGTCCCCTCAGTAGAGACACCAGTACAGAACCCCGCTCCGATCTGGGCACGACTCATGCGGACAGAAACTACTATTCATGATGACATACTAACAAATCGACTCTGCGGTCTCGCCGTGTCTCTCCTCCTTCGGTGTCTCTCGTCAGCTACAACGCCTCTTCATCTCGTCCGCCCGCTCCCAGCAAGCTCTAACGTTAGCTGCCCCATTAACCCCATTAGACCAGGCCCAGTCGGCCTGCCGGCCGATTTCGCTTAGTGGTACCCCGGCGGCGGGCTGTCGGGGACGTTCGGCTTGTCCTCCTCGTTGAAGCTGGGACGCTGCTTGGCGCCACGGCGGAAGGCTGCCGCCGAGATGACGCCGTTGCTAGCGGGCGTGGCGGGGGTGAAGCTCGAGCGCTTCTCGTCCACTGGCGTCGTCACGTTCGAGCCCGGGGCGTAGTAGCTGTCCAGCGCCTGGTTAAGGGCGTAGTCGCGCGCATCGGGAGAGGCGACGCGCGACCGCGGCGGAGATGCTGGTGGGCGGTACCCTCCCGCCGACGGCTTGTCGTGGATCACGACGACGGGCACGTCACCCGGCACGGGAGCGGACTGGTAGTTGAACCCCGAGGCTTCGTACTGTCCCAGTGTGTCGATCTGCGTCGAGGTGTACTGCGACGGCTGCGTCGGCGGGTCGGGAAGACGGCGCGTAGAGGGCGACGCGGGCTGGTCGGGAATCGTGACGACCGGCTCGTCGTCGTAGGCGAGTCCCTCAGCCGAGGTCGATGGCGGGATGCTGGGGTGCGCACGCTGAGTCGGCGAGGGGATCTCGGCGGGGATCGCGACGACGCTGTCGTTATCAGGTGTGTAGTATCCGTCAGCAGTGACGGGGCGACCACCCTGCGCCGGAGCGGCGAGATACGGATCAGCCTGCTCCTGGTAAGCAGGCTGGACAGGCTCGGACTCCTCCTCGGCGCGCGGCACGGGGCCGTCATGCAGCGAGTAGCGCGGACCGTCGTGGAGCGAGTACCGGGGCTGGTCCTGGAGCGAGGCGCCGGTCGAGTCGCGGTTCGAGACACGAAGCGGCTCCCACCCGGGAGTCGCCTTCGGCGCGTCCACCTTCTCCTCGGCGGGCTCGGGGGGCGAGTCGAGCGTCGTCGTCGCGAAGCGCTCGGCGATGGGCGCGCCGTACGGCGTCGGCGCAATCTGCGGCACCGACGACGACACCTGCGAGTTCGCCTGCGAGTCCTGCGCCGCAGCCGCATCCATCTGCCGCTGCTGCTCGTACTCGTACGAGTGCTCGAGAGCGTCGTCCGAGGGACCCTGCCACACCGTACCCGTGGGGGCCGTGTGCGTTGCGCCGTACTCGTCCTGCTCGCTGGGACGGCGGTCGTCCAAGCCCGAAATGGCGGGGATGCGCGGCGGGCTGCTGGCGCGGGGGCTGCTAGCACCCGTACCAGGGACGTAGTCGCCGTACTCCTCGCGCTGGGCGATGGACGCCTCCGGCACGGGGCCGTTGCCGGCGGCGGCTGCGGTCAGGGGCGAGTTGTGGATGCCGGGCAATCCAGGCGGCTTCGGCGCCGCAGACGCAGCGTGGAACTGCACCTGCGACAGACAGCGGAGCGCCTCCTTCTCCGTCTTGTCGGTCCGCTCGTATCCCTCGTACGGCGCCCGTCCGTAACCAGGCGGCGTCTCTTCGAGCGGAATCTCCTCAAGCAGCAGCTTGCCCAGCTCGCCAACGATGCACATCTTCTCGCCGAGCTCCTCGAGGCCGCCAAACTTGTACGACATGGCTTCCTTGACCATTCTGATGTCAGCTGACGATCCGGTGGCAAAGCTTGACTCACTGCCTCTTGAAGTCTCCAAGCTTGCTTTCCTCGACGACAATGTCGGCATCAATGTCGCGCATATCCTTGCGCAGGCTCTCGAGCAGCTCCGTCTGTTGGAGGAGCTGCTTGTTCTCCGCGCCCATCTTGGAAAGCTTGCGCTCGGCCTGCTCCGCCTTGTGCGTCAGCTGGCGGCGCTGGCGGCGCTTCTGGTCGAGGTTCTCCTCGCGCTCGCGGATGCGCTTGAAGCACACGCGGAGGTTGGCCTCGTGCTGTGCAAACGTGCGATAAGCGTCGCTGAGCCGCGTCAGGAGCGACGCCGAGTGCGTCAGCACATCCTGCAGGTCCGGGCCCTCCGACTGCCCATATGGTGCGAGCTTGCTTGCGGCCGACGCCGTCTCCTGCGCCATCTTCTCGGATGCCTTCAGCACGTCCTTTTCACTACTAATGACACTGCGGGCGTCAGCACACGAGTTCAAGTCCGGGTGGCAAACATCCCTCCACTCTCTCGCCCCCGGAATGTCTGACGCGTGAGGGATTCGCGACGCGGACATTGCAGAGGCGCGAGCACGCCTGGCGGCGTGGGGCATGACGACAAGTGCGTCGCATGCCTTCTTTCCCACCTCGCCCCCTTGTTCCAGCCGGGTTCGACTCACTCTTGGAGTGCTCTCAGGTCCTGGTTACCGAGCGCGGGCAGGAGCGACGTGTGGGCGACCTTCTTGCCCAGCTTGTTGCCGATACCGCCGAGGGTTCCGCTACCGCCGCCGCCGCTGTGCGTGTGGGCGTGTGTCGGGGCAAAGTTGGAGTTGCCGGCCGTGGGGGACGCGAGGCTCTCGTCGCCGCTGGTCGGTGCAGCGCCACTAACGATGCGGCTCTGGGGCTGCGAGTCGGATCCTCGCCGGCGTCCGAACGAGGGAAGGCCAAACTTGCCCGATGCCGAGCGTAGAGCCATGTTGGATGATTGGGGTGAGTGAGTAGTGGAAGAGTAAAAACTAACAAACTACAAAGGAAGGACCTTCCTCGGAAGGTCAGGACAGGTCACGGCTTGACATTAGCTCTGACGTACGACGGGGTTCTGCGTCTGCCGGTGCGCGCTGTCCGACCTGAGACCTGTCACCGCCGCCACTGGGCATTTGATTCCGCACCGCCTTGCTTGCATGCCTTGCTCATTGTTAGAGCCAAGCCAAGATCCTTGACGCGAAGCATAAATCGAATGGCGCTATCCCTGCATGCCAAACCGCTAATTGCTGTGCAATCACAGGGCTCAACAACCCATGCAGACCCAGAGCGGCATCCACGATACCCGCTCATGTGCGGACACATCGATGTAGCATGCTACGGCTGTGCTAATCCTGGCGTATACGTCTATTATACTATCTCGACTTCGAAAGCAAACGACGATGGTAGAATGGCGAAGATCGGGGGCGCCGCCAACGAGGCTTCCGTCGCACCAGCGTATGATAGGCAGGCTGCGACTTGCGGCCATGAAACCACCCTCAAACGGTCGCCGTTCCTGATCACCGCAGCACACCCTCGCAAGACCGACCTGCGGAAGTGCGGACTCGGCCGGTCATGCCAGTCATGTACTCACCGATCTTCCTCGCCGCCCTCGCCGCAACTTTCTTTGTTTTGAAGTCTGCGGTATTCCGAAAACCTCAACGGAGACCCCGCACCGGCGACCTGTCCATCGTGACATCAGCCCGGACCATTGTTAGAACACGGGCACGGGATAGGTATGATGTGCCTCGGCAGAAATAGATAATTGCCAGGGAAAGAACCGAACAAGAAGGCTGCGGATGTGAGAACTACTGAGGGTCGAGGGTACTCACTCAACTCTCCTCCTGCTCTTGACCCTCTAATTGCTGTGCAATCACAGGGCTCAACAACCCATGCAGACCCAGAGCGGCATCCACGATACCCGCTCATGTGCGGACACATCGATGTAGCATGCTACGGCTGTGCTAATCCTGGCGTATACGTCTATTATACTATCTCGACTTCGAAAGCAAACGACGATGGTAGAATGGCGAAGATCGGGGGCGCCGCCAACGAGGCTTCCGTCGCACCAGCGTATGATAGGCAGGCTGCGACTTGCGGCCATGAAACCACCCTCAAACGGTCGCCGTTCCTGATCACCGCAGCACACCCTCGCAAGACCGACCTGCGGAAGTGCGGACTCGGCCGGTCATGCCAGTCATGTACTCACCGATCTTCCTCGCCGCCCTCGCCGCAACTTTCTTTGTTTTGAAGTCTGCGGTATTCCCCTCTCATACCGCGCACCCCACTCAATTCATCCGGCATGCACGCATGCAAGCGGGGCCTAGATAAGCCCCTATCAGCCGCTGCCGAATGCGTCACAATGTGGCAGATACCTTCACGCAGCTCCTCGAACCTCAGGTACTAACAACATGGCACTCATCAATCCCTAACCCTCCTCGATCTCCGCCCTAATCCAGACGCACCGCCACGATAAGGTCCTGAAGAACACTATGCATTTGCTGAGACTGTGAAGTATTGCAAAAGAAAAGACAGAAATGTGTGAAGAAATGTTTTGGTTTGGTTGAACGTAGAAGAGCGAAAACGAAATATGTCGAAAAGAGATAGATGATGAAAGATAAGGAAATCGAATCAATGAGTAATTGCTGAGGTTGACACTTGATAGAAGAAATGAAATATGCTTTTGACTTGTTGGATGGTCTTAGATGCGCTTGATACCGATGGGCATGCCGTTCACAGGAGGAGGGGAGACGCCGACACCGACGCCGCCGAGGCCGGGTCCCCCAGGCTGGCCGTGGGGCCACGAGTAGGGCTTGGGCTGATTCATGCCGAACGCACCCATCATCGGGGCGCCGACCCCGGGCTGCCCAAAGTAGCCGATGTGCGTGGGGATGATGCGGCGACGCGTACGCTGCTTGCGAGTGGTTGCAGCCGTGGTAGCCGTGCCTCCGTTCGAGTTGGGGCCGACCGCGTTGCCAAGAGCGCGCGAGGCGATCGAAACCGAAGGCGAGCGGGTACGGTCGAGGCGAGAGCCGTACACCGACGAGGGGCGAGAGCCTCCGAGCTTCGTGCCGCCGCCGAGAACGGTCACGTTACCACCGTCGTAGGGAGTGACGGTGGGACCGTTGGAGTTGGCCGAAGAAGGGCGGGTCTGGGTAGGCGAAGTGGTGCGCCCACGCTTGGCGTGCTCCTCCTCATTCTCGCTGACCTGCTCATTCTTGTCCGAAGGTAGCAGGTCGGCGGAGCCGGGACGGGACGCGGGAGTGAGAAGCTGGGTGTGTGAGTTCGAGTTCGTGTCGCTCGAGTCTGAACTGCGCGAGCTGGTGCTGTCCGAGCCTTTGTGGCCGTTGGGACGAGTGAACGACACATTACGTGATGAATGACGCATGAGGTCGCCGTCTTGCTGGGTCGAAGACGGGCGGCTCGGGGAGTTGTTTGCAGACAGCAGGTGCGGCGAGGGGGAGCGGGTGCCCTCGCTGCGGGTAGGAGGGAAGGCGAGCAGGCTGGGAGCTCTGATCGGGATAGCCTTCGAGGTGCGGACCGGGGTGACATGGGGGCTCGATTCGGCGGGGGCCGACGATGCCGTGGGAGCGGCCTGCCAGATAACGTGGAATGATTCTACGCCCGTCAGTCTATAGATAAGATACTGTTTACTCACCACGAGGGCGTCTGATCGGGTCAAACTCGGGCTCGTCCCATCCCCAGCCTCCCCATCGCCAGACGACCATACCGGGATCACACCACACCTCCCACTCCGACTCGTCCTCGCCCTCGGCGCGCTTGCGGTGCGACGCCGAGATGGCCTTGGACCAAGTGGGGATGTCAATGTCCTTACCGGCGGCCTCACGGAGAAGAGGGGGTAGACCATGGACCCGGTCACTGATAAGAGAACGGGTTCCGGATGCCTGGTGCGGGTTGGACTCGTTCCAAGAGGGCTCGTACGCCTTTGTGAGAATCTTGGTCAGGCGCTGGCGCAAGGTCATCAGCTGGGAGTGCGAGTAGTGAGCCGCGAGGGGCTGGACAAGGTGGTGGACGAGGGCCTGCACCGCCGAGCCCAGCGTCATGTCCAGCTGCAGACCGGCGCCGGGGGTAGCATTGGTCGGAGCAGGTGGGGTGGCAAGGGCAGGAGAGGCGGCGCGAGGCGGAGTGCGCTGGCTGCTGAGGGAGAGCCCCGTGATATCGGGTGGGTCCATTTTCGTCTTAGAGCATGTGCGAGAGTCGTGTGTCGTGAGGTCGCTGGTCGGCTCGTCGAGGTGTCGGTGTCGTTGGAAATTTGTTGGGCGGCGAAGGAGGGTATAAACACAACACTTGGTGGACGAGCGGCAAGAAAAGAATGCGGGAGGAGTGTTTTTAACGTTTGGGTGTGTCTAGGATAGGGAGGGTCGAATGCAGGTGGGCGGAAGACAGGAAACGTATTGTGGTCGTTGTCACAAGAATGAAAGAAGTCGAGGGTGATGGTGGTATGCTATGGATGGAGGAGTGAGAGTGTGATGCAGTCCTGATCCTGGATGCCTGGTTGCCTGGATCAGAGGGATCAGAGGGGGCTTGGGACGACGGGTAGGCATGCTAGGCATGCAGGGCGCATGGCGCAGGTGACCAGCTGGGCGGGTGGCCACCAGCCAACGCAGGCGCACGCTCGCTCACACCAGGGGGACCATTGTTGTGTCGACTCGGGGGCAAATCCGCGTGGCCACTTACCGCATCCGGCAAGTCCCGCGGTACTTCGCACCGTGGCGCCCCCTGTTGGCTTCCATTCGACCCCGTCTGACCCAAACAATGCATGCACACCCAAAGGATTCTGCGCAGGGCACGAGCGCGATGTACACTGGCGAGCGGTCAGATTGCATCGATGCTTACGCGTGCGTCTCAGACTTGTTCATGCATGAAGCCGAAGTGTTACAACATAAGCGATGGAAGCCGCACACGGATGGGCGTCCCGTCCTGCGCGACTGATTTTCGAGCAGCGATCGTGCCCGCGTGCCCGGAACAAGGAATTCGAGCGGGCCTAGAAAGAGCTAATCCGGACTGCGCAGCTTCACTGCACGGGAGCCAGATTCAGCAGACCCACGACAGCGGGGACGCCGACGTCGGTGTCTACGAACTTGCCGGCGTAGAACGCCAGTAACACCGCCAGCAAATGTTTGCACTGGGCGTCAGTTTGAGCACAGAACTCTGCTAACTCACCATCTCTGCTTTGTCCGTGAGAAGCGACTGATAGGCAAATCCGGGACAGGGGCAGAACATCTGTCCCAGCTTCGAAGCGTGCTGTGTGATGGTTGCTTCTGTCGAGGGCGTCGCGCGCAGTGCAGCTTCAGCTTCGGTGTCCTGAGCTGTCTCGATGTTCTTGCCGGGCTTGTCGTCGGGCTGTGGAGCAGGTTTCCCATTGCTGCTCGAAGGAAGGTCCAGGTAGATTGTGTACGGAGCTCCTGTGGAGGAAGACACCTGAAGCAAGTTAGGGCACACTGGCAGCGCAACTTACCTGATAGATCACCCGACCGCCTGGGAGACGCACCCGGACGACTGATGTTCAGCTCCTTAACAGTGGGTCAGCTTACCATCTCTATCGTCGACCAGCTGGAGTGCTGCAACGAGGGAAGGCCCGAAGAGTGCGTGCAGATGAAGGAGGACGGAGTCAGAGTCTGGCGTCAGCTACAGTTTGCGTAAGATGAGAGCGTACTAGGATCTCTTCCGAAGTCTTCAAGAAGCTGCTGGACGAGGATCAGGTGCTCGTCGGCTGTCATCGCAGTGTCATCGCTATTATCGGTGTCGAGGAAGGTCGAGAGTAACGACATTTCAGAGTGACCAGTTGTGTCTGCCAGTCGATCACGCGGAGACCCCGCATTCGCCACCCGGCGGCTTATCCCGTCCTCCCCTTTTGGTGCACCGCGATGACGCCCGCGTACATGACGGCTTCCTCGCTTCGTTGTCCAGCACACTTCCAGCCAAGCACGATGAACAGGGTGAGCTCACGACCTTCCAGGTGAAGCTGACGAGCAGATATTCGGAACGAACAAGTCGAAGCCAAAGCCGAACCTGTCGGACGCGATCAACTCGGTGAGCTAGTCGAGCTGTGACTTTAGCTGACAGGACAGACCGACAGCCGGATCGGCACGATCGAGGTCAAGATCAAGAAGCTGGACAACGAGCTCGCGACGTACAAGGCACAGATGGCCAAGCTGCGCGATGGACCTGGCAAGGTGAGCTCCAGTATCACCTTCGCATGAGCTAACCTCGCAGACAGCAGTGCAGCAGCGCGCTCTCCGGACGCTGAAGCAGAAGCGCATGTACGAGACGCAGCTTAACACGCTGCAGCAGCAGACGTTCAACATGGAGCAGGCGGCGATGACGACGGAGAACCTGAAGAACACGATGACGACGGTGGACGCGATGCGCGTCGCGAACAAGGAGATGAAGAAGCAGTACAAGGGCATCGACATTGACAAGATTGAGAGCATCCACTACGACATGGAGGACCTGATTGAGCAGGCGAACGAGATCCAGGAGTCGCTTGGCCGCTCGTACGGCGTCCCCGAGGAGATTGACGAGGACGACCTCCAGGCCGAGCTGGACGCGCTCGGGCTCGACGACGATATCGGCGAGACCGAGGCCCCGTCGTACCTCCAGGACTCGACTGCGCTGCCCGACTTTGTCGACGCCGCGCCCGTCGAGGAGGAGGCGCCGAAGCAGCCCGCCGCGGAGATTGCCCGATGATTGGCGCGATGGCCCGCTACCACACGACGAGTTACCCATAGTGCCAGTGAATGCATATTGTACAGATTAGCTACTCAGTCACGCTCTGCGTCTAGAACTTGAGCTGCCGCGTGTCGACGCCCTTCATCGGCCCCTCAATCCCCTCCACGACGCCAGCAGACGGCAGCGCGCCGTCCGTTCCGTCCTTGCTGACGGCGACGAGACGGGGTCGCGCGCCAACACTGGTACAGAGGAGACGGTACCGCGCGCGAATCTGGGACATGAGCGAGGCAAGATCCGGCCCCTCGTCCTCCGGCACTGGTTCTCCGCCCGCTGGTGTCGGGTTCGTGGTGGGGAATTGCGAGATGAGCTCGCGCAGGGTTTTAATGTGCAGTTGTGTTCTGGGGTCAGCGCGGAATTTCTCTCGCCGGCTCGGCGTCCTTCCGACCCTCCCCCTCTCTCAGAAGGTGGCTCAGTCGGAGCTCAGAGATCTGAAAGGAGAGAGAAGAGAGGTGTCAGACTCACTTGGCATCCTTCCGTCCCGACCCGCCCGACGTCGCCAGCTTGCGCTCAGCAACAGCAGCAAAGCCCTCGTAGAACCCGACCTCCTCCCAGATCTCCCACGCCTTCTCAAGTCCGAGCTGCCGGCCCTCAAACAATCCGTGCAGTTTGCCGTGGGCGTGGCCCGCGGCGTAGCCCTCGTTGTAGAATCTGCTGTCAGCTGGTGCACTCGGCAACTGAGAGTTGGACCCGTGGGTCTTTCTCTCTTGGAAAACTACCGGGGTTTGCAACATGGGGTTATTGAGACTAGCCATAGGCGGGAGACCAAAAGGCAGACAAACTCACCTCGACTCCAGGTTCACGGCGTGTTCCATGAAATCCTCCTCGGCGGCGTCCGGGTGCTCGATGCCCATATCCTCAGGCTGGAGGTGGGGGTGGGGGTGGTCCTTCATAGTCGCGAGCGTAACGAGCGAGTGAGCTAGGTGAACGAGCGCAGGCGGTGTCGAGCGAAGCGAGACTTGGCTGTTGAGACGTTGAAGTCGAATGTAACGAATACTCGGAAGTGCGGCGCGCGCAGGAAATGGACGAAATTCTGGCTCTACGACGTCATGAGTCAGCTAGTCAGCGAACCTCAGTGGCGTCGCCGCTGTTCTCCGATGATCCCTCATTATAAGAGGGGTGAATGCGCAGGGTTAATTGCGAATTAGGAAATGGCTGCGGGCTAGTACGAGCAGTGGGATATGGCGTCGAATGTCGAGGCCCGAGTAATACGGTCTGGTCACGTTCCAGGCCAGTCTCCGGCAAGGACTAGCTCTGCATGCTCTGCAGTATGGAGACCCAGATGCGACCCAGGTGTGCTATTCGGCGCATCCTTGAGTCCATTTCGGCCTACTCGGGCAGTCTGGTGGGCGCTACTGGAGGCGCTGATGACGCCGCTTGGGTGTATATGCACGCAGTGCCCGATGTGACAGTTCTCCGTCGCACATTGAATGCAACAGCGGCAGGGAGTAGGGAGGAGTGACGCTCGGCCCAGCCCTTGCATCAATCAACGACCGTGGCTGCGCACACGGAGCAATCTGTGCTCATCTGCACGCGCATACGCGCGCAATCAGAAAAATTTCGGACGCATCCTGCATCATCCTGGCATCTATCCTGGCATCTATCCTGCAGACTATCCTTAACGACGTCCTAACCTGTGATCTGCGCAGGAACGGATTAGGAACGGGACATGGGCGACTCAATGGTGCGGCGCGGAGAGATGCTCACTCAGGCCAACTCAGGTTGGCAGGGTCGGCACGCCGACGACGGCAGAATCCATTAACCCAGTCCGGCACGTACGGCATGATAGGCTGCAGCGGCTCTGGCGACGATGCCGAGATCCCGAACCGAAGTGTCCGCGCTGTCCGAGTGTTTTGCGCAGTCCATTGTACACACATGCAGATATACAGACATTGCAGAGCATGCAGAGCGCAGGACGGCGCCGAATGCACAGCACAGTTGCGTTGTCGGCTTGCCGGATCAGGGGTACCGGGTACGCACAGGGGCTGAGCTGGCTGAGGGCTACGAGGGGTCAAAGGGCAGGCGCGAACAGAGAGGGTAAGGGGTGGCAACGGGCGGGACCATCTTGGGTTTGGATGATCGACTGCGGAGAGGCGCATGGCAATGGCCCAACCGCGCCCAACCCCCCCAACTGGCCTGGCTGGCCTGGCTGGCCCAACTGGCTAAAGCTTGGCCCGATCTGGACCTGCATGCCTACAGAGTGGACCAGCGCACGCCGCCGCTCGTGGATCGTGGGGATCACGGCCATGGGCTGTACACTTGTCCTAGGCGTCATCTCACACTAGAACCACACTCCATCCCGCACTATCTCTCTCTCCCATTCTCTCTCTCCTCGCATACACCATCACACTAACTTTGCACGTTTCCTACGCCATTCATTCGCTCACACTCACTTTCGACCTCTGTCTGCACACCTCTCTGCTCTCGCTGCGCCCTTCCACCGCCCTCGCCGTCTGCTCGCCGCCGGACCGATTGTTCAAACGTTCCTACATTCCACCCCTCCCAGGCCATTCTAACATGACTTGGCGGTAGACGACCCAGAAATCACACTCGCCTCGCACTACCGCACAGCTCTGCTCTACTCCGCAGCACCCCATACACACGCCAGCGCACCATACGCCATGGTGTCCTCTGTCACCGCCACCACGCACCGGCCTAACGGGCCTAATGGCTCGGTGCAAATGGCCTCGATTGCGACCAAGCCGCACTCACAGCCAAACAAAGCCAACAGGCTCCCTTTCGCCATTACGATTCCCGACTCCATCAACTCCTCCCCCATCTCCCCGTCACCCGCGTCCGCCGCCCAGCGCCCGACCTTTCTGCACCACCGCACGGACGACAACTACAACTTCCACCACCTGCCTGCGTCGTCGGGCCCGCGATCACGAACGTCCCCCGTTAATGGCGGCGGCCACCACCGCGCGTCGCTGTCCGAGCACAGGCCCAGCGTCGAAGTGAGACGGCTAAGCCGCCCGGCATCCATGAGTTCGCGCAGTCTGTCCGTCGAGTTTGAGGAAAAGTCGCGGTCCTCGAGCAGCTCGTCGACCGGCACCCCGCTCGCCCAGACCCCCGTGTTCCCGCCTGCGTGGTCGCACAACGTCACCGTCGACCACCAGTACCCGCGCTTCGCGTCGCAGAACGCCTACGAGCACCACGGCCAGCCGTCCCGACCCGTCGGTCGCCTCGTCCTCCGCGCAGCCCGCGACCGCCTGAGCTGCGGCAATAAGAGCGGTGCGCTCGGGCGGGGGCTGATCGTCGGCTGGGTCCTCACGACGCTCGGTTTCATCGCCGCCGCCGCGTTTTGGAAGGGCGAGCTGTTTTCCGGTGAGTCCAAGAATGCGCAGCAGTCGGGGCGTCTGCGGTCCCATATGTCCGCAGTTTCCTTGGCTGTGTAGTTGAATTGTGTGCGTGCGCGCTTCTCGCTAACACCTTCCGCAGCCCTCGACCACCTCTCCAAGATCCTGCACGACATGGGCTACCAGGGCCTCGTCGTGTTCGGTGTGCTCATCTTCATCACGACCATCCCGCCGCTCCCGCTGTATTCGACTCTGATCGTTCTGTCCGGCTACACGTTCGGGGCGTGGTATGGGTTCATCGCGAGCTATGTTGCGAGTCTGGTCGGCGCCGTCGTCGTGTTTGTCGTGTCCCGAACAGTCCTCCGGGACGCCGTCACGAGAAGGTGAGTTGATTGCTGGAATTGATAACTGACCATCGCAGCCTGGCCTCGTCACCGACCGCGACATCTCTACTGCAGATCATTCCCGCGAACCCGCACCTGCTTCTCCTCATCCGCATCGCCCCGTACCCGTACAACCTGCTCAACGTCGTGCTCGCGTCCGCCCCCTCGCTCTCGCTCAAGACGTACACGGCCTGCACCGCGATCAGCCTGTGCAAGCTGATCCTGCACACCTGGATGGGCGCAGGCATCCACGACCTCTCGTCCGCCTACGGCGCGACGCCAGTGGACGAGGACCGGATCCCGGAACCGCACGAGGCCGACTCGCAGCACGAAACGCTCAAGGTCGCCATGACGTGGGGCGGCATCGTGCTCTGCGGCGTCCTCTTCGTGTACCTGACGCACCTGGCGAAGCGGGCGATCAAGAAGGCGCAGGACGAGACGCGGGACCGCGAGCGCGGCCTCGGGCCAGAGGACGAGCAGCCCTTCCTCGCTCGCAACAGTCTCGAGGAGGGCGTGCGCTCGGACTAGGTGTGCTCTCGTCTCGGTCGCTCGTTTTTACAGGTATTTGGTACCGGTACTCTCGGATTCTCTCATTTCTGTCCTGCCCCGCTTTTCCTTTCTCTCATCGTTGTACGAACAAATGGACGCTTATGCATACGCTTTCTGCTGCGGTGGTCGCTGCCCTTGTACTTGGCCCAACGGCCGAGTAACGGCTGAGCTACTGGGTAGCTGACGCGACATGTGGAGGTGATACCCGTGTCGCACCTCTGCAGCTCTGTCAGTGCTGCGGCGTGTGCATGGGCCTCATTCATCGCACTAAGCCGTCAGGAAGCCAGGTGGCAACTCATGACGTGCATGGTGAGGACGAGGGTATTGATGCCCGCTTGCAGAGATACCTGCAGGGCCCGTAGGGTGAGCCGGGAAAGGAAAGAATCGAACGTGCAGTCTGCTTGTGCCTGTAGTGCCCTCCCCACTAGGCTTCCGTTCAGCTGTCCAGCGTATCCAGCGTACCAGCGAGATACCCGTGCCAACGCCAGCAGCAGGGCTAGCAGCATAGGGGAGAAGGGAGGAGCAGATTTTGAGGGATGAAACGTAAGGGGGTCCCATCCTACAGTCCGACATGCGACACGACGGGAGAACCAGCGGAGCCGGCGGTCAGAACTGGGTTAGACTCGAGTGACAGGTGTCTAGGTGTTGGGTTCCAGCGTTCCAGCACCCTAGACTGGCAACCTTGGGAGGGAACGTGTGTCTCGGCGCCCGGAACGCTGTGCAGATCAGCGAGGCATGTGTCCCACTCTGGCTGTCCGTCGTGAAGCTGCCACTCATAGCTGATGGCACTTGGTGGACAGGAAGCGTCGAGCTATGTCAATCTCGATCGCGGTCTCTTCCTGGCTATCTACCTATTGATGAAGAGGCCAGAGCGCGATCTGCACTCTTGTGCCTGCAGGACCTCCGCTGCAATCCGTGTTGGCGTTGAAGAGAGCCGTGCGCAGAGTACGAACAGACGACACTCTCGCTTTGCATTATGCATTAGGCACATTCAGCACTGCCCGCGACTGCGCATGGGTGGCGTCCCAAACTACTTGCCTCCGCAATCCGCGTCAAGGCACAGAAGAACAGTCACCTGATCATCGATCGCTTGTGCGCGCTGCACTGGAATGCGCACTGTGTGCGAGCGCTGTGGTCACAGTGGGGTGCGGCGCATCATTTGGCGCTGCATTAGGCGCCGACTCTGTGCTGAAATTGCATGCAAATGCAGGAATGCTACTTGTACAATATATGATCTAAGATGCAGATATGAGAAGTGAGATAGTGCGTCGTGCTTTACTTCGAGCTCATGACGACCGGGGGCATCTCCACAGTGGCGAGCTTGCGCGCGGCCTCCTGCTCCCTTACCTTCTGCCGCTTGGCCGATTTGCGCGCGCGGCGCCTCTCCCTCTTCTCGAGCTCGCTCTCGCGCTGCTCGATGCGCTCGAGGCTGAGGCGCTTCTCCTCGAGGCTGAGCGCGCGGCGGGCCAGTTTCTCCTCCTGTTTGTTGACCATCTTCCGCTCGCGGCGCTTGATCACGTCCACGATCGGGGGGAGGAAGGTGTTGCCCAGGCCTGCCATCTCGGCACGCAGCTTGACCATCTGCACCAGCATCCGGTTCAGGGGGGTGGGCACGCCGAGCTTTGTGCCGAGCGCGACGAAGAAGCCGTTGATGTAGTCGATCTCCGTGTCCCGGCCGGCCTTCACGTCCATCGCCATCGAGGACGTGTTGTCCTGCGTCTGCGTCGCTATCGACTTGATCCGGTCCTCGAGGCTCGTGGCTGAGAAGAGACGCATGACCTCGGGCTCTGGCGGATGGCCGCCGGCAAGGTTGCGGAGGTACGCCTGCAGCACCGCGCTCGTCTCGGCGGCCGTCTGCTTGATGAGCTGGAAGCCGGGGGATGACCGTACAAGGTCGCCGTTGCGCATGAAGCCGCCGCCGAGGGAGGCCGTCAGCGCGTTGATCGTGGCGTTGACCGCGACCTTGAGCAGCAGCTCGTGATACAGGTTTGCCATTGGCAGGACCTCGGGGTTGAGCTCCGTCATGGAGAGGAATGCGTTGAGTGTTTCCCGCACGTTCGGCTCGGCGTTCAGTTTCGGCAACGGGTACGTCGGGGCAATCGGCTGGCCGACGCTCGGTATCCTGCTCGCCGCAGAGCCCCAGAGCCAGCGGTCGTACGAAGTCTTCCCTCGCGGGTCCGGCACGACGCCGAGCTTCAGTGCTCCATCGCCGGGCTTGGTCATGTGCAGAATCGAGCCGTTCCGTTCTCCAGGAGTCACACCGTGTGTCGTCGTGCCGAGAATGAACTGCGGTCGTAGTCCCGGGTCCGGCCAGTACTTGGCACAAAGCTCGTCGTACACACCCATTCCGTTCTGGAGAAGCGTGATGACCGAGCTTGGCTGGATACGGTCCGCAATTTCGCCAATGGCATGTGACGTTCCCTGCGCCTTCGTGCAGACAATCAGAGAGTCGATCGGCCCGCCTGCCGACACCGCGATGCCCTGCTCCTCCAGCTCCGTCTTGAAGTGCTCCTTCCCCGGCCAGTCGGCTTTCGTCAGGTCAACAACATAGCCGGAAGACACCGTCTTGGTTCCATGCCGCTGGACCTCCAGTGTCAAGTTGCGCTCCCTGTCGGTCTCCTTGCCCTTTCCACGGAGGTTCTTGGCTCGTCGTTGGAGCAAGTTGACCTCTGCCGAAGGGACTGCTCGACGCAAGTTGTGCGCAACGAGTGTCCCGATGGACCCGATGCCTAACTGTGGGTCAGCTTGAAGTCCCCTACCGTTGTAGCTGGATTGCACGTACCACATGGAAACGCATGGTCTGGTGAGCAGTCGGACTCGGCTTTGTTGTTGCAATCAACCGGCGATGGAGGGTTCGGTGAACAAGGATGGCTCTGCCTCGGCGGACTGCGGGGCAAACTCCGAACCGCCGTGCATGAGTGCACGAGTCGTTGAGCACAGGTGGAGGCGAACATGAGCATGAGTGGAAGCAAAGCCACGTGACGGGCAATTTGGTTGGTACCTGGCAGACGAGCTCCGTATGCTGGGCGGTGGCCGGCTGGACTGGCTGGCCACTCACAACCAAAAGTTGGTCCAAGGCACCAGCCAAAGGCAAAGCAGAGCGTGCAGCAGCAGCTCATTCAGGCGAGTCTTCCTCCACTGGCACCATCCTACTCGTCACTTCTCCATCCCTCTCTCTTTGCACTCCCCTTGTCTCCTCGACTCGTCCGACGCATACGACTCACGCATCCGCATCTGCCCCAAACTCATCCTCCCAAACGTGAGCATTGCCCAGTCCTCTCTGCACTCTCTTTTTTTCCATCTCGCCGCTGCATGACCGTCCGTCGCGAGCCCTTATTTCGTCAAACGCGTAACAAAGTCTGTCATTGTCTCGCGGCCCTGGAGCGCAATTTTCTTGTTTTTGTCTTGACCCTCCTCAAACACACAACATGCATCACTGCACCTCGTGCTAGCACAACTCGCGTGAAACAGCTCCCCCATCACCTCCTTTGCGTGCTTTTGCTCCTCATCATCCTTGCCCACAACCCATCCTCCATCACTTTTAGCCCAGTTACTCACACCCCTTTCAGAATGTCCATGCACTTTGCCCCTCAATGGGTCAAGCCCATCAAGCCCACCGGATCGGCTCTGACACCTACCACCGAAGCTCCGCCCCTCGCCCAGCAAAAGGTAGCCCCCATCCCTTCCTCGCCCTTCCCGGCCCTTGGCCAGCCTCGCTCCGGTTCCCCGAACCACGGCGCCAGCGGCGGCCAAAACCAGCCGCTGTCATATTCGCGCGTCACGCACACTCCGGCATCCCCGTCTTACGGTGGCGAGGGCTACTTCCCTTACGCTGGAGGAGACGCCCAGAATGGCAACAGCGATCCTTCGCCCTTCCCGTTCCGCTACAGCCGTGAGCAAATCCTCGCCGTGTGGGACGAGGACAAGTTCAAGGAGCGGCCCATCGAACTCATGCAGATCGGTGAGAACGGGGCCGTCATCGTGAGCAAGGAGGTTACCAAACCCGTCGGTTTGCGTGATTTGACCGAGCTGGAGAAGAAGGTAAGGCTGCACGCGCCTGTCTCATGCACTAACCTCCACAGCTTCTCTCCACCTCTGTCCACCCTCCCATGCCTACGCGTCGCCCCCAGCAGCAGCACGGTCAGCATCAAAACTCCGATTCGCAGTCGCGCCGTGGCCCAATGACTCCCAAGGACGGATTGTCGCCCGTCCAGACGGGTCGCCCCGGTTTCGGTGGATTTGGCCGCGGAGAGGGAGGAGCGTTCGGGGGCTCCAAGTACTCCGGCGCCCTCGCTGAAGGCCATCAAGGTGGCCGTCAGCCCGGAGCCGTCGGTGGTGGATTCTCTGGAGTTCCGAAGCGCCAGCCCCGCCGCGACAACACCGACGAGAGCTCTCGCTCCACCTGGCGCCAGGCTCGCAGCGGTGGAAGCGGGGGCTTTGAGGGCGTACTTGGTTTTGGCAATTCGCCCACCACCCCGGCCTCTGCTCAGCCTGATCAGCAGCTCGGCGGCGGCGATCTCAGGCAGCAACAGGAGAACAAGCCTCAGCCTGAGGACGATCGCTGGAGTCAGAAGAACTGGCGCCGCGCTCCCGAGCCTGACAAGCCTGCCGAGACTGAGCCTGCTCAGCCTCTCAGCGAGGTCAGCCAGGAGCCACCGTCATCGGCCGTGCCCGAAAGCCGTACGCCTGTTCAAGAGCCCCGCGAGGATCTTGGCGCCGTCAACTGGCTGTACCGCGACCCCAACGGTCAGGAGCAGGGTCCTTTCACCGGCAACCAGATGCACGAGTGGTACTCGCACTCGTACTTCCACGACGACCTGCCGATCCGTCGCCAGAACGAAACGTCGTTCCAGACCTTGGCCGAGCTCAAGACAGCGACCGGCAACGCCGTCCAGCCGTTCCTCTCTCCCGTTCGCCCCCGTCTTCCTCCCAACCTCCCTATTCCGTCCCCTGCACTCCACCAGGCTGCCGCCCCTGGTGCTCCCTCTCCCGGCCTTAACGATTCGTTCGGTCGCCTTCATATCCACCCCCTGTCCTCTCAGCCTACCTCTCCCTTCCAGCACACCGCCACCTCGCCCTACTACCAGCCTCAGTTCAACGCCGCGCCCTCTTACCCCCAGCAGCAATGGAACGCCGCGCCCGGCCCTCGCATGAACGGCATGTACGGTTCTATCGGCCCCGGAGGTGCCCAGGGCTACCCCGCGTACGGCGCCGTCAACCACCAGCGTCCCGACATGTTCGCCGCCGCACCCATTGGCCAGTCGCCTTGGGGCGCCCCTGCGCCTAACAACTGGCAGCAGCCCCAGCAGCAGCCTCAGATGGCTCTCCGCAACGTCATGGGCCACCACGACCAAGAGCAGGAGCAGCACATGATGCAGCAGCAGCAGCAGCCCCAGCACTACCAGCAGGAGTTCCAGCAGCCCCAGCAGGAGGAGGCGCCCGCCCAGGACTCGTACTTCCCCGAGCAGGAGCAGGCCGTCCCCGCTCCGGCTTCCGTTGACCTTGGTGCCGAGTCTGAGGCTGAGGCCGACTTTGTTGAGGGTGTTCTCGAGGGTCACCAGGAGGCTCTCAGCGAGCACGAGTTCGAGGAGCCGGTTGAGGAGCAGCACTACGAAGAGGAGGAGGAGGAGCCCGAGGCGCCCATTGCTACCTCCATCCCCAAGCAGTCCGCCTGGGCTACTCCCGCCAAGCCCGCCCCCGCCAGCCGCGAGTCTTCCATCTCGGCCCCTACGCCTGCTCAGGCCGTCCCTTCGAAGCTTCCTCCCGCCCACGCCTCGCTTCCTCCCAAGCCCGTTGCCGCGGAGCCCGAGCCTGTCACCCCCGTCAAGCCTTCCACCCCGAAGCCTGCTCCTTGGGCCGCCAAGGCTCCCACTTCGACCGGCCCCTCGCTCCGTGAGATCCAGGAGGCCGAGAGCCGTCAGGCCGAGGCTCGCAAGCAGGCCCCCGCTGAGGCGCGTGCCCCTGCTTCGCCCGCCACCGCC